GTCCCCGGGGTGGGGCCACCCGGGCCGCGCCACCCTCGCCCGCGGCCGAGCCTGCCTGTCCTCCCCCTGCCCAGCCTGCGCGTCCTCTCCCGGAGCCGGGACGCTGGCCCAGTGGGCGCTGCCTCCCCCGCTGAGCTGCCCGCCTGCCTCAGCCGTTCCTTCTCGCAGGAGCCGGTGCCCACCTGATGGCCCGGCTCCCGGCGCCCAAAGCCCCTGCCGGGTTCGGGGGACATCGGAGCCCTGCGGTCTGCCCGGCCATTGCGTCCCGGCGCCCGGCAGGGTGCTGGCTGCACAGCCCTGGAATGCGGTGGTGGGAGCCGGCGATGCCCAGCCAGTCGGGCCCAGCCCTTTCGCGAGGGCCCCGCCTGCTAGGTTCAAGTGTTCCCTTTGGTTGTTGGCTGTGCAACCTGGGGCAAATCTAATCACCCTGGGCCTCGGCCGCTCATCACATCCATTTTATCTGCAAAGCCGCAGGCAGGAGCAGTCACGGCACAGCGCAGAGGTGCCTAGTCGTCCGGACGACACCTTCCTGCCCCTCTCTGGCTTTGACCTCCTGAGTGCGGGGGAGGGGACTCGCTCAGGCCTGGGCTGGAGAAGGAGGCTCCGTGGACCGGAAGTAGCTTGGAGCTGGGGGTGGGGGACAGAGTTTGGGGGCTGGGGACATGACAAAGCCCAGGAACCCCGGGGCCCTGCCGCCTCATCACGTCACGTGGTTCTCCACCGCCGGCTCCCAGAACAGTTCCTTTAGCAGGCCGCTGCTCCCCTGGGCCCTGGCCTCCCGTCTCCATGGTAACCCACAGCAGGCAGGCACCCAAGGAGCACCCCGCAGGGCTCCCGGGGCTCCCCAGGACAGTCAGCACCTGGCCTCCCTGCTGCCCAGCCTCATCAGGTCTGACCCCACGACTCAGTGAAATCACTGAGAGGTTGTGGAGCCCGGACAGTACCACGGGCAAGGCTCCTCCCCCGGGCGGCCGAGCTCCTCAAAACCTGTCCCATCAGCGGGCTCCCACCACCCGTGCCGGCCCCGCTGGGGTCTTGCCGAACCGGTCATCTGCAGGCTGCTCAAGCCAGACCCATGGGAGCTCAGAGGGGAGCTGGGTGCCTCGGGCCCCTGTGCCACTGGCCTGGGGCCCTCAGAAGATCCTTCCCCAGGGCACTGCTTCTGGAGCAAGGCCTCAGGGACCCTCGGTCTCCTCTCTGCACAGCGGAGATGGCAGCGACGAAGGACAGCGGGGACACATACCGCACAGGGCTGGGCGGTCCACAGGGCTGACACACTGAGGGCAGCGCCAAGGTCCCGGGCCCTACATCAGGGCCGCAGTGGACGCCCTCGCCCACCCGCCCCAGGCAGGGAGAGCGGCAGAGACTGCAGGGGCAGCCACTGCAGAGGGATCAGGGCCCTCCAGGCACCCACCTCCTCCCTGCCTGGGGCCGCCGGGCTCCGGACAGCTGGTGTGTGGGCAGCCCAGCCAAGCAGGAAAGCAGGGAGGGGGCGCCCATGAGCCAAAGGCCACCTGGCCCCCACATATGCCCACACTCCCTGTGCCCAGTACCAACTCACGCCCTGGCGCAGAGGACCCCATCCGTCGGGCAGCAGCTCAGGGCCTTGGCACAAGGAGCATGCAGCTTCTGGGTGACCTGGCTTCTCCCTGGGCCAGCACCACTCTGAATGGCCTGGGGACAGCCACTGCCTTTCGACCTCGAGTTCATCGCTCTCCACCCTGGCCCCAAGCTTCCTTTCTCTGCCTTCCCCTCTCCAGACGCCCGCTGGGTCCGTCCGTCCCTGTCACCCTGGCCCACCTGCCCTGTCCCTCCATGTGGTGTGGCATCTCCGAAGCCCCCAGTCTCACCTGCGCCCTCACCTTGTCCCCATCCTGGCGACCACGCCTCTGTCCGTGTCCCCTCTCTGCTCACACTACCCTCTGCTCCCACCTGGCCCCCTGGCCTGACCCTCCACAGCCCGGATCCCTGTCCCCAGGTTCTCGGTGAAAACCCTGCTGGAAAAGTACACAGCCGAGCCCATCGACGACTCTTCCGAGGAGTTCGTTAACTTCGCAGCCATCCTGGAGCAGATCCTGAGCCACCGTTTCAAAGGTGGGCCTGGCTCCTGCGGGCGGGCCCTTCCTTGGGCCTGGAGCTGGGAGGGGCACGCGCATGCGTGCGTGGGGGCGGGGTGGGTGCCCGCAGCCTCGCCCGGCCCTGCTGCTGAGCCTCCCCTGCCCTGGCTCAGCCTGTGCCCCAGCAGGGCCCGCCAGCTGGTTCAGCTCCGACGGGCAGCGCGGCTTCTGGGACTACATCCGCCTGGCCTGCAGCAAGGTGCCCAACAACTGCGTGAGCAGCATCGAGAGCATGGAGAACATCGGCACCGCGCGGGCCAAGGTGAGGCGCGGGCGCGCGGGGCGGGGCGGCGTGCGCCTTGACAGATGGGTGCGAAGGGCGCCCGTGCCTTCCAGGGCCGGGCGTGGATCCGGGTGGCACTGATGGAGAAGCGCATGTCGGAGTACATCACCACGGCCGTGCGGGACGCGCGCACCACCAGGTCAGCTGCCACGCCCGCCGCTCGTGTCCCTCCGCCTGGCCCATATGCACGCGGGAAGCTCCGCCAAGCGCCCTGCCGGGTCGGCGCTTGTTCCCGGAGCACAGTCCCCACGGGGCTGCGGGTCCCGGGGCAGGGTCATGGGTGGAGCTCGCCCGCGTAGCTACAGCTGTCCCCCCACGTGGCCACGGCCACTCTGACGTCCTGGCCGCCGCCCGACCCCGTCCCCCACCTCGTTTCCCGCGCCGCTGCGGCCCAGCACGACGGCCTGGGTCCTGCTGCCCGAGGCTAGGCCGGCCTGACGGCGCGGTCCAGCGGACACGCACTGCGGTGCGCCGCGGCCGCCGGCCCGAGCCGTTCGGGGCAGGCAAGACCCGCTGCCAGAGGAGCGGCGCGGAGAAGCCTGCGCTTGCCGCCAGCGCCCCCACGTCCCGTCCCCAGGCGCTTCTACGACTCGGGGGCCATCATGCTGCGCGAGGAGGCCACCGTCCTCATCGGGATGCTGATCGGGCTGAGCGCCATTGACTTCAGGTGGGTCTGCGCCGCGGGGCAGAGGGGCCGCGCCGCCGCGCCCGCCAACCTGCCGCTCCCCTGCCAGCTTCTGCTTGAAGGGCGAGGTCCTGGACGGGAAGACGCCGGTGGTCATCGACTACACACCCTACATGAAGTTCACCCAGAGGTGAGCTCCCGCGAGCGGCCCGGCGGGGGGTGCTGCTCCAGGCCTTGCTTCGGGGGCGCAGGCCTGGCACCTGGCCCCTGGCCCACCTCCCCCAGCTACGACTACCTGACGGACGACGAGGAGCGGCACAGCGCCGAGAGCAGCACGAGCGAGGACAACTCGCCCGAGCACCCGTACCTGCCGCTCGTCACTGACGAGGACAGCTGGTACAGCAAGTGGCACAAGATGGAGCAGAAGTTCCGCATCGTCTACGCGCAGAAGGCGAGCGGAGCGGCGGGGCTCGCGGGAAGCCGGGGACCGCGGGAAGCCGGGGACCGCGGGAAGCGGGGGTCCGCGGGAAGCGAGCGCGAGTCCCGCCCCCGCAGGGCTACCTGGAGGAGCTGGTGCGCCTGCGCGAGTCGCAGCTGAAGGACCTGGAGGCCGAGAACCGGCGGCTACAGCAGCAGCTGGAGGAGGCCGCGGCCCAGAACCAGCGCGAGAAGCGGGAGCTGGAGGGCGTCATCCTGGAGCTGCAGGAGCAGCTGTGAGCCCTGCCCTCGGCCCGCCACACGAGCCTCCCCGCCCCCGACGCCCGCGCCCACGCCGCACCCCAGGATCCCCAGCTCCACGCCCCTCGCTTGCGTCCTGCACCCCCGGACCCTCCAGGGCCTCCCGGCCTTCTCCCCACCCCCGTCACCCGGGGGACCCCTGCACCCCACCCCTGCCTCCCTCCCGCCCCGCCCGCCCACACCGTGCCCTTCCCAGGACAGGTCTGATCCCGGGTGACCACGGCCCCCTGGCCCAGGGATCCAAGGAGCTCACCACGCCCCTGGTCAACCAGTGGCCCTCGCTGGGGACGCTCAATGGCTCCGAGGGCGCCGGCAACCCCAAGCTCTACCGGAGGTGAGGGCAAGTGTGGCCGGCAGGTCAGGTGGCTGGGGAGCGGCCGGGAAGGGCTGGCCCTACCGCGCCCTCTCCCCGCAGACACAGCTTCCTGAGCACGGAGCCGCTGTCGGCGGAGGCCAGCCTGAGCTCCGGCTCCCAGCGCCTGGGGGAGGGCAAGCGGGACGAGGAGCCCTGGGGCCCCATCGGTGAGCCTCACCCTGGCCAGGTGGGAGAGAACCCACGGTGAAGGCCGGCGTGGCCCTTCCACTGTACAGCTGTGAGCCCCACCAGCGTCCCCACGGCCAGGGCAAAACGCGGGGTTCACACTGCCGGACCCCCAGCCCGACCCAGCTGCCCTAACCTGGCGCACGGTGACCCTGCCTAACCCTGCCTACCCTTTCCTTTGGCTGCCAGGGAGCTCAGAGCTTCACTCAGGGCTCCCTTCCTTCGGAGGCCAGGACTTCCGCGCATGCGTCTTGTTGCCCTTGGCCCCGCCTCCCCGTGCTAGCTGCCCCCCCGCTGACACCCTTTTTTATAACCATGCTGCCCCGATGACCCCAGGTCCTCTGGGGCCAGGCGGGCTACGGGCATGGCCCTGCCACGCTGTGCTGTGACCATGTGCGTCCATCCCCCAGACTGTGAGCTCCAAGAGGGCAGGGACCGTGTGTCTGCTGTGTCCCGTGTCTGGACGGAACTGCGCTCCCTGTGCATTTAATAAACGAGCAGAGGGCCAGCCTCAGGGGAGATGGACTGACTGCATACTGTCCCTGCCATGCGCGGCCTGGTGGGCACTGACCACGGCGTGGCCAAGGGGCGTGTGGAGGACGCCCCCTCTGCGCGCCCACCTGCCGCGGCGGGGCTCACTCGCACTCTCTCCCCAGGGAAGGACCCCACACCCTCCATGCTGGGCCTCTGCGGCTCCCTGGCTTCCATCCCCAGCTGCAAGTCCCTGGCGAGCTTCAAGTCCAACGAATGCCTGGTGAGCGACAGCCCTGAGGGCAGCCCGGCCCTGAGCCCCAGCTGAGTGCAGGAAGCGGCCCCTCTGCAGCTCGCTCTGCCCAAGAACAGTGCCCACTGGCCCGGCCAAGGGGCACGCGGAGACCGTGCCACCCTAGCTTCCTGCCCCAAGGGGCGCAGTGGCCGGGAGCCACAGCGGGTGCCCAGGGAGCGGCTCCTCTTCCTGGGGGCCCCGAGGCCTGGCCAGTCCCTTCGGCGGATCCTCCACCTGCCCTCGGGAGCTAGCGCTCAGCCCCTGCTGCCTGCCTCCCGTCTGCCTGGCACCCCGGCCCCAGCCTTCCCCGGCCCCAGCGGGTGCCGGGGATCCAGCAAATAAAAGCCAGAGGACCGAGGTGGCCTGCTCTGTGGTTCCCCAGGCGACAATGTGGCAGGCTGGCTGGGTACCTGGAGTTAGCCTAACGGCAGGCAGTGGGCACAGAGCCCTCCACGCACAGGAGGTGGCAGCTCTGGGAAGCAGCCACAGCAGAGCTGCACACCTGTCCCCTGGGCCAGAGCGCAGCTGAGAGTGGCCTCCCCCGGGTCTCCAGAGGACTCACAGGGCTGAGCCCAAGAAACCTCACCGCCAGGGTGACACACCCATCACCCCAGGCCAGGTCCTCACCCCAACCCCACATTGCCCAAGAGGGGGAGGCTCATGCACACAGCCTGGGGACCGACGCGAGTCACACACTGGGCTGCACCCCTGCCTCTATATTCCTGAGGTGGGGTCTCAGTCTCTAAGTTGCACAGGCTGGCCTTGGACTTGCAATCCTCCTGCCTCAGCCTCCTCCCACAGTGCTATGATGACAAGTGTGCACCACCACACCTGCTACAAAGAGGGCTTCACGAAGGCCACTAGGGCCAACCGCACAGCCCCCACGGTTCCTTCCCACCCGAGCCAGCTGTCCCCCAGGAAGGTGAAGCACAGGCTGAATGCGGAAGTTTGTCACAATCTTTAAACAGGGACTGAACAAGTGGGATGCAGGTGTTGGGGCAGCGAACACCAAGGCTGGGGGTGCGAGAAAGATTTGGTCTTGAGCTTGGGGGGGTGCAGGTGGCAGGAAGGCCTGGGTCAAGGGACAGGGACGGGGTGCCCCACGGGGGCAGGGAAGGCACTGGCCCAGCGCTTGAGGAGGGCTTCAGTGGCCCAGCGGCTGCTCCCGGTTGAGCCTCTGGAAGAAGCGTTTGCCGAATTCATAGGTGCTGATCATGATGGCGCAGGAGGGCGCGGCCTTGATGACCCTTGGGAGGAAGCCTGGCAGGTGGCGGCGGGGTCAGCAGGGACAAAGCAGCGCAGGCCCACAAACCCAAACATGCACACACGCCCTCACACACAGAGGACGACACGTACGCAGACAGACGGGAAGTGTGGGAACACACTGACCCATGTGCATGGACACGGACACACCCGTGGGCACGCACACCCTCTCACAGACACGCGCGCACCTGCAAACAGGCCCCTGGTGCCTGACTCGGCCCGGATCCTCCGCAACAGCAGCCAGGTGGAGTCAGCATGCGGCGGCCTCACTGCAGTTGGGTTTGGGGCTGGATGGGCTGTGCGGCGGCTCAGCAGGGCCCCAGCCCCGCCCCGAGCTCCCCGAACTCACCTCTCACAGCCTCCAAGGCCCCCAGCGACACCTGCCGCTGTGTCTTCACCACGTCAAAGGGCAGGGTGAGGGCGGCAGCCACCTGGGGGTGGGCAGGGCTTTCTCTGTCCTAGCTCCCCGGCCTCCCCGGCCACCTGGTGCCCTGCTGCATGGGTTTCCCCCTCCCCTTGAGCCCCCAGTGACTCACAGTCCCTGAGATGCCACCGGCCACGAAGCTGGCTCCCACAGATGTCTGGTCCCGGGTGCGGGGATCGCACAGCCAGCTCCTCAGCAGCTCGTAGTTGAACCAGTACAGTGCTGGAGGACCGCGCCCTTCAGAAAGGCCCCGGACCTACGCCCCACCCCCAGCCCCTGCTGTCCCAGGCTCAAAGAAGCTGCTGGGACACAGCCAGGACTGGCCAGACCCATACTGCCAAAGAGCCGCATCCCCGCCCTGTGACCCAGTGCCTCCCTCCCCGCCCCCAGCCCTCCAGGGTCTCTGTTCCCACCTGAGAAGGGCACATCTCGGAGGGCAGTGGGGCCCCAGCCCAGCCACAGTGAGCGCCAGCCACCCTGCGCCACAGCAGCACGGACACAGGCACTGAGCTCTCTGTAGGACACGTGCTGGGCCTGCAGCTTGGTCCGCAGGAGCTCGAGGGGGCTGACCACGGTCACGGTGCCCACTGGGGGACAGGGCCGGGTCAGGGTGCATGTCCCATTCTGTCATACCCACCCCCGGTGGCAGAGGCTGGGGATAGGGTGAGGGGGTGGGTGGGCCGGGTCTGCTCACAGCGGGCCAGCGCTCCAGCCACTATGGGCGCGCAGAGGTCGGAGGCCAGAGCTCGCCGGTGTAGGAAGGCCTTGAGCTGGTCGTAGGCTGTGAAGTAGATGGCAGTGGCCGGCACGGTCATCACCCTGGTGGTGGGGACAGAGTAAGCAGGGACCCACGGGGGTCCCACACCTTCCAGTGTGCTCCTTACCCCCCAGCCGGGCAACGGGGACTCACAGGGTGGCCGGGAGGCCGCTCCACAGGGCCCGGGGCCCCTCATGCCTCACAATCTTCACAAAGGCATCCTGGCAAGGGAGCAGGGGCAGGAACAAGGCCTGTGAGCCGCTGGCCCAGACCAGGTGCTAGCTTCTCAGGCAGCTGCAGAGGGGCCCTCCAGCCTCACACAGGCTGCTCCTGAGGGCCCTACTCGGCCTTCAAAACCTCATGCAAATGCCGGGCGTGGTGGCACACGCCTGTAATCCCAGCACCTGGGAGGCTGAGGCAGGAAGATCATTGCAGACCAGCCTAGGCTACAAAGTGAGCTCAAGGCCAGCCTGAACTGCACAGTGAGACCCTGTCCCCAAAAGACAAAAAAACCAAACCCAAAACCAAACAAAAAAAACATCGCGCAAGGCTGGGGCTGGACGTGAGCCGCAGTGCTTGCCCGGGAGGAGGGAGGCCTGGTAACAAGAAACCTTAGAGGGCTCGGAGTGACCCCTGCCGGAAGCCCTTCCCAAGCACCCGCGCAGCCCGGCCTGCGGCCCCCCGGGGATCCGGAGGGCTCCCTGCCGCCCCTCACCATGGTGCCATTGAAGCGGGTAGGATCCTGGAACCAGGGAGCGCAGCGCGCACCGTTGGGGCACAGGTAGAGCGGCTCCAGGACGCCGTTGCAGTACAGCAGGCACTTCCCTGCGGAGAGTGGAGGGCGGCGTGCTGGGGACTGGGAGAGGCGTGAGGAGGGGGCGGCCCAAGGGTCCACAACGCCCCTCCGGCGCCCTGCGCGGGACACTCACATTTGGTGTAGGAGACGCTCCAGAGTCGCGCGGGAGGAGGCAGCTCTAGAACATAAGTGAGCCCCCAATCACCAAAGGTGCCCCGTGCGCAGGGCCCGGACCCGGGACCCCGGTGCTGCCCACAGCCCGCCCGCGGAGCTCACCGCCGGCCCCCGAGGGGCGCTGGGCCTGCAGGCGGACCTTGACCACGTCCAGGGGCGTCACTGGGGAGACAAAAGGCTGAGGCCCCCTCCGGGCCCCCGGGCCGAGCCGCCCCTGCCTCGGG